GGAATAACCACCTGGCAGGTGGCCAAGGCCACCCGCTGCAGCAAATCCATCCCAGCTGAAGCACAGGTGACCAGAAGCTATCCATGAGAGAGCAGGAGGGGGTGTGTGGGGACCCTGTGAAGATGGAGAAATGAGGAGGAAGGCATGGAGGCAGAGCAGCCCAGGGGCCCTGTAAGCTGGGAGTGTCCCTGCCCTCCCTATGTGGGGTGGGCTCAAACACACGCGTCCAAGGGCCTGGGCCACACTGTCATGACTGTGTGCACTTTGAAGTCTCTCATCTGTGGGTTGAGCTTTCCTCCCAACACCAGCAGCGTGCCACTCCCCGGAGAGCCCATGGGCACTACAGATTCCCGACTGGCTCTGTTAATGGCCTCCACCCAGTCAATGCAAGGGGCTCAGAGCCTGGAACCTCAAGTTAGTTCTGTTCAGAGGGAGTTTGGGGACATTTTATGCTTCTGTTCACTGCCTGGGGAGCCCCAGTTTCAATATATGGCCAGAGGATACTTGGCAGGGGATGCAGGCACCAGGGCCAGGGCCCAGACCCACAGCTCCGGCCTGAGCCTGAATTCCCAGGCCCACACCACGAGGCCTGTGTCTGCACCTGGGGGGCTGTCTTCAATTTCCCTGTCAGCCTCAGAGGCCCCCACTGAATAGTGAGCTCCATGAAACAATCACAGATGTAGGCGCACACACACTCTCACACATACACACCCACCAAGAACTGCAGAATAAGCCAGAAATGCACCAGCATGTTCATCACTGCACGTGTCCTGCAGGGAGGCAGTGCTCAGTAAGTGGAAGAGATTTCGCGGGAGCTCTGCAGATGGCTATGTTCTCTCTCTCCGAGGAGAGTCCAGGTCAGCAGCAAGTGCACCATGTCACAAACAGCGGGGACAGCATGAGTTAAGGCCCGATTCCTGCCCTGTGATTTACAGAGCTCTTGAGACCACCTGTAAGCACCACGCAGCCCCAGGGGTAGAGCCAGGAGCGCCCGTCTGGTTTCTGCCTGGACTACCAGCTGCTCTTCCCCTAAGGCAGGAGACGCAGCCACGCCTGGTCTGTTTTGGGAGGCTGCAGGACAGACACATCCAGCACCACCCGCCAGACTCTCAGAAATGATCCACTTCCCACAGACATTCCAAAGTACTGATTTTACAAACCCCCAGATGTGTCACATATGCATTTATAATATAGCCTTGCAACAAAGGAGCAAATGGTTTCTAGGCTAAATATATGCTTTCATAAGAATAATAACGATAATGACAGAGCATCTAATGTCACAAGGAGCCCAAAACTCCTGGTAAATAAATACTCACTCCCACCCAGAGTCCTATAGCCCGCTTCAGTCCTAATGACGGCAGGACTTGGGCATACGGAAAGTTTAGGCGGTTTTCAGCTGTAAACCATGTCCTTTGCACTTCTCTCTCTTCCATACGGGCTTTTTGCTCTGGGATTGCTCTCTGTATGTTAAGTGCCCAACACTGGCCCAGTGCATCTGAACACAAATGCTTTTGTGCTAGTAACTAATTCTCAGAACCCATCACGCTCAGGCGAGGCACAGCAGTGTATCGCCAATGGACTGGCTCACTGGCCAGTCTCACCCATCTGGGATTTTATAGATGTATGGCCATCATAAATGGCAGCTGGTTAAAGAAATAGCTCATACAGTCCATTCAGCTATGATTACATTTTATATATGACTCAAGCCAACCATGGCCAAGCACTGAAGCAACTGAAACAAAATAAAGCATGTGTAGTAATAAGGAGTCTGGCATTGCCTAGCCAGTTCCTTCCACCACAGAGAGTGTGAGCAGGTGGGGGCCCAGAAGGGGAGGTAGGAGGGTGGCCCACTGTGCAAGAGCCACAACCCAGAAGGAGGTAAAATTGCACCATGGGACCAGAGAATTGGCTGCAAGAGGAAGACAGGGCCCCTGGGCCCTCCCAGGATGCCCTGGGGGCCACTCCTTAGGATCCCCTCCCTGCGGGGCTGCTGAATTCTCGACCCCTGGGAACTGATGGACACGCTGACGACTATACCAGACCATTACAATGGCAGGGTGCAGACACTGCTTTCTGGGGGTGCTGTTGGTTAAGTCCTTTCATCCCCCTGGAGCTGGGGTAACACTCGGCTGAGAGCAGTGCCCAGCCCCAGTGGGAAGGCGCAGCCACCATCCAGTCCAAGTCTGTCTGCTGGCCAAGCCAAGCTCAGACTGCTGCACTCCCCACACAGCACAGCCATGCTACCTGCAGAGGAGGTGGCCTTGTACAAGCACACACACACGCACACACACGTGACCAGCTAACTTCTGGTGTTTCTGTGCCCTGGAGGGGCCCAAGGCAGGCTTCCAACCTCTAACTGGAAGTCCCCTCAGCACCACACACACAGTGAAGCAAGCATGGTTTTAACACAGCACTTGTGAGTATGAACATCAACACAGCCGGGGGACAATCGAATCCCAACTAGGCAGAGGGCATTAGGATGCATCCTGTTCTGGGCTTGAGAACCAGAGAGGAGGTCAAAGAGGCCCACCCACAGTGCAGTCTGATACCAGTGTCTGGGGCGTGGGGCCAGAGATGGACAGATGTTCCGGGGAACCCTAAGCCCACCCCACATGTGCACCTCTATCAGCAAAGGCACCTTCCCTCCCAGGACACCAAGTCCTGCAGCGGCTCTGCCTCAGGGAGGGCACTGAGAGCGCTCAGCTGAAAGAGCAGCAGGGGTTGAGGGGGACCCTCTACCCTCCCCAGCCCAATGCAGACCCCCAGCCCAGGCCCCGAGCTCTCTGCCTGCAGGGAGGTCTGCCCCAGTGCAACTGGCCCAGGGATCAGCAGCAACTGAGAGTGACCACAGCTGGGCTGTGGAGGGTTCTCTGCTTTGCCCACTCTCTTCCCTGGCCCACCTGCCTCCTAAATTCCCCCTCCTCCCAAAGTCCCATCCTCCTCCAGCTGCCAGGCTACCTCACACACAGTGAAATCAGGTCATGTCCAGCCCCAGCCAGAGAGTCGCGTGCACTCTACCCAGGGCTGCCCAGCGGAACTGTGGTGACAGAACTTTCTGAATCTGTGCTGCCCGTCATGGTGGCCTCAGCCACATGTGGTCATTGAGCACTTAAAAAATGTAGCTAGTAGGACTGAATAACTGGATTCTTAATTTCAGTGACTTTTAATTGATGTATATTTAAAGACCCATGCATGGTTGAGGGCCACGGTACTGGGCCATGCAGGCTTCGCCCCCACCCCCATCGCAGCAGCTCCCACCACAAGGTCCGACCTTCTCTTGCAGAGTCCTCCTGGCCTCAGGGCCTCTGCACAGGCCGCTGCCTAGGCCCAGGACACATCCCTCCCGTCTGCTCCTAGCGTCAGCCTTCAGGTCTCAGCACAACACCCTGCCCCCAAACTCACAGCCCTTCCTCAGCTCCAGCTCGCCCGCCCTCACCTCTTTCCACCTCGGTGCTCACACAATTCCTGATTTCATAATGTTGTTTTCCCTTACACTGACTGCCCCCCTGCCCACCGCCCCAGGCAGTGAACTCCCTGTGGTTGGGTGTGGCTGTGCTTGTTGGACCACCAGCAGGTGCCCAGGCCTCTCACAGAGGGGTGGCCAAGTGGGTGCATGGCTTCAGGCTCTTAAGAACTGACTTCAGAATCTAGCCTTCAATTACTATCGTTCTTCCTGAGACACGTTCCTGGGCCCAGCCCCACACACCAGCTCCCAGAGCACAGGGCTTTCCTCCTGTCCTGGGTCCCTCACCGGTGGGGGCTTCGGAGTGGGGGGTCCACACGAGGAAGCCAGTTCTCGTAGTTACTACATTTAACTAAAGAGGAGGGCCCTTGTCAGGGAGCTTCTACATGCTGGGGCCCCTACAGCAGGTGGGGCCCCACCCACCCTGTATTTAAACAGCTGATCTCTTAGCAGATGGTGTGCACCAGCAAACATTCTCAGGCAAGAAGGGAGCTTGGCACCCTGTGTGGCCCCAAGAAGCCCTTTTAGGACAGAAAGGGACATTCTGGACACCCAGGCTAAGGTCAGTGGACTTGAGCCATCGCTGCTCAATCCCCAAGAGTCCCAGCCTTGGACACATGGAGGTGAACATGTTCCTGAGAGGACACGGGGACCCTCAACATGCAGGGGGCTAAGAAATGATTAGGATTGAAAAATGCTCAAAAGAAAAAAGTTAAGCAGAAATAACGTGACTATTTTAATAGATAACTGTTGGGCCCTGAATTGAGACCCAGTTGTTACGTTCACCAGCTCCCAGGGTGATGGCGTGTGGGGTGGCCCTGGTGGGACTGGTGCCCAGAGAAGACACCAGAGCCCGCTCTCTACCACGTGGACACAGCGGGAAGGTACCATCTGCAAGCCAGGGAAAGGCCTCACCAGGAGGCCGTGCTGGGGTCTGATTGACTTCCAGCCTCCAGGACCGCGGGAAGTGAGCTCCTGTGGACCATGCCACCCATCGGTGATGCTCTGATGGCCAGCCGAGCAATGGTCTAAGGCAACATGGTGACAGTGGATGAAGCATGGAGAAGACCACTCCTTCTTTATCACCGGCTGCATCTGAGGCCACATGTTCTCACCACTCCACAAGCCAAGTGTGCCGAGTGAGCAGCGGCCTCTGGGAAAGGCAGAAGTGACAAGACAAAGCACCTGCCCCCAGCTGACCCTATGGAGAGCCACCCACCCAACTGAGATGCCACCTGCTCCAGACAGTCACATAAGAGAGCAAGCCTGGCCACTCCAGCGGCTTGTCTGCAGGAGATGCAGTGGCCAAGCCAGGAAGCCAGCTCGTAAGGCTCCACTCAGGCCCACCGAGCTCCCCAAGGCCCTCCTCCCGCCACTGCAACCTGCTGCTCTCCCTGTCACCTCCACCGCCAGCTTCCGACTGGCTCTGACCAGCCCTCAGCTCCCGCACAACTGCCAGGCCAACAGTGAGCCTCTCTACACGGATCCCTGGACACACTTGCAAACACCTGCCATCAAAGAGCACTTCACAGCTTACCTTTCAGGGTTGGAACAGGGCTGTCAAGTCCATCCAGTTGTCCCAAAGGGTCATTCGGATCAGGAACCTCCGCCTCCCCTAGGCAAAAGAGCACAGCACACACATTAATGAGGCTCAGATGGACAGCGTTTCAGCTAACAGCCCACTGTTTACAGAAAACTGGGAGGAAGGAGGCATCCAGGTCGCTTGGGGAGGGCTTTTGTAGCACCATATCTCTTGTTTCAGTGAGAGCGATTCTCCCATTCATCCCAAGAACAGGACACACAGATGGAGCACACATGACAGACACCCAGGCATCGTTCTGGAAGGGGGAGATTAAAGCTCTGGCTGGCAAAATGAAACACTTCTGCAGACTGGTAATTCTGGAGAAGTTAAGAATTGGCAACTCTCTTCAGCAGCTCATTCCCCTCCAGGCCCCCAAGCCCACCTACCAACTGCAGTCTGGTTTCTCACCTTTACAGCTGTAGTAACCCACTCTCTGGTCAGTGGGAGCAGCCACCCCCCAAACTCATGAACTCCAAGGGTGAGAGCAAATCTGGCCTGCTCAGCTGGGGACACATTACAGAGAAGGGCCTGGCCCCAGATCCCAGGGTGGATGGGCAGGTGTGACTGACAACCTAGAAGCTGCCTGTCCTCACACAGACCCCTCTCCTGTCCCGTTGCAGCCCCTTCCCATCCATTTTACGTTCAGCTTTCACCTGGTACCTTGGCCTTGACTGCATCCTACTGGCTGGGGTGCCGGTGGGTGTGGCCGTGGCCACACGTCTGGGCAGACCTGGGTTTATGGCATCGAAGCCTGAAGAGAGTGGGACTCCCATACAGTGGAATACAGGCAGCTTAGAAAGAAGGAAATCCTGACTCTGGCTACAACGGGGATGAACCTTGAAAATATCACACTGGGGGCGCGCCAGACACAGAAGGACAGATGCTATGTGATCAGGGAGCTGCCTGGGGGAGCATGGTCACAGGGACGCAGCAGGAAGGTGGGTGCCGGGGCAGGGAGGGTGGGGAGCTAGCATCCAGTAAGCACAGAGGTTCAGTCCGGGTAGACGGGGACGTTCTGGGGATAGACGGTGGGGACGGCAGCACAGCAGTGCAAGTGTGCTTAATGCTACTGACCCAAATACTTAAATGGTAAGACGGTAAATTTTATGCAATGGGTCTTTGCCACAGGTTTTAAAAAAGCCAATGAAAGGCAGTTTCTAATTCAACACTGAGTCACCCCACTCCTCTCTCCTAAATGAGGGACAACTAACAGAGCATCAGGAGCTTCAGACCCCTCTTGAGATGGGGCCTGGGAAGAGGGTGCAAGTGCTTTTCTGATGGAAGCAGGCACACAAGGTTCTCCAAATTGTTAAATAAACACTGTTTACACCTAAGACACCAGTGTCTCTAAGCTAATTTCTCCATACACCTGTTCCTAAATCACAGGATGCTCCAGGAACACGTCAGTCCCCAGCACCCTCCGAGTTCAGCCCAGCTCCCAGCCAGCTGATGCAGGAGACTGTTTCTGGTTAGGTCGTGGCTTTCCACATCCAGTTATGTTAAGTTTCTTCTTTCTAACCCTTCTGGTCCAAACTTACCCCCCATCAGAGGCCACGCTCCCATGCCATCTTTCATAAATCGTCCCCATCAAACATCAGAATAACATCTTTAGTCTCTAAAACTACTCCAAAACATGTGTCTCTCCTGTGGCAATCTTATCATTCACACTGAGTTGACAGTTGCATGTATTTTAATCTTCCTCAATGGGCAGCAACCAGCTGCAAGAGAGCAGATGCAGCCCTCTAGTGAGGGCTAATGGTCCCAGCATTGAGGCCTAGATGGAGTCTCGGCTGCTCCAGACAAGCAAAGCTATGCAAGGCAGTCCATGGATTCCTGCTGAAGAATTAGAGACTTCAGTTTGGGTTTGAAATTTTAAATTGGCATGTTACACATACCATCACTCAGCACTGTTTAAATGGAGAGAGACCACAGGAAATCAAACACACTTGTACTATGTACACACATCTGAAAGAGGCATAAAAATTGTTAACTGCTTAGAAATTGACAAATGGTGTGAAACAGTCAAATAAATATACACCCTGAAGAAAAATAAGCACCATTAGTCCAATTCCACTATGGAACGCTTCCCAGCTCTTCCAAGGCAGCTTTCAATTCAGAAGCGTAAGTTCTTTCGAGCACATCTAAGTCGGACGCAGACGAGCACCTCCTCGTGGGACAAGGGCTGGAAGTGGTCCAGAGGCTTCTGTTAACCCATAAGCAGATGCCACCCCCACCCAGACACGTAAAGTCGCAGCTGCATGGGAAATGCTAAGTCCCCCGGAATGTGTTGGGCTGGTCAGTACATACGCTGGGATTCAATTTTGCATCTTTTTCAGGTGAAAGTTAGTTTGGGCATTTGAGCACAAGGAGTATCAAGAACATGAATGCAACGAAGGCTAAGCGTCCCAGTGCATTTCCTCTCCAGTTCAAATGCATAATCAATTCAGGGTGTTCAACCACCACAGTCCTTAGAATTGACACCTTAGGTTTCAGCAAAATTAGGTTCCACTGTTGTTTCCTAGCTGGAAAGTAAGGACATCCTTTATGTCCTAGAATCAAAAGCTACTGCTCTCCTCCACTGCATAAACTTTAGGTACAGTGTGTAGCACTCAAGATGCTGTGCCTCCTAAAATTTATAAACAAAGTGTAATAGGGGTGAATGCGAATCCATGGGTGAAGACCAGTGTGGACAGGGCCTGGCACATCAGCACAGTCCGGTGCGCTTCCTTCTGGCCCTACGAAGGGTTAAGAACAGGCCAAAGGAAGAAAGAGAACATACACAAAACAAAGACCACCACTGAAACTGCTCCACACACATCAACACATCACTGTTGGGTATCTGGAATTGTACAGGTAATTTAAATGACTTCTTGTGTTTTATTTGTAGACATTTCTACAGTGAACAAGAATCAGATTTTTAACTGACGTGACTCACCACAAAATTCACCATATTGAAGTCTACAATCTGGTGGTTTCAGTATATTCATAAGGTTGTGCAACTAACCCACCACATAACTCCAGAATATTTCATCACCCCCAAAGAAACACTATTCCCATTAGCAGGCACCCACTCCACACCTCTCCAGACCCTGCACCCACTAACCTCCTTTCTGTCTCTATGGGTTTATCGGCTTATAACATTTCATATTAATGGAATCATACAATCTGTGGCCTTTGGAACAAAGACCAATTTTACGATTAGATTTCTAAAATGTCATGGCCAGTAGTGGCAAAAAAGAGAAAAATGAGAAGGCTGGATAGCAGTGCCCTGGACTAGGCGGTTAGCAAAGGAGGCCACCAAATGCCTCATTGGCATGTCCGGCCACTGCCCGGAATCGGTGGGCAGGTGTGGCTCCAAAGCAGAAAAGGATGTGGAGCACACATGCAAGACTCAGAGATGACTGAAGGATGAGGGAGGGCACTCTCAAAATGTCTGGGGCAACCAGGATCACACATGAGGTGGCTCAGGAGCTCACAGGCTCACTCGGCCAAGTCAGCAGCCGGCATCCACACGGTACCACAGCACAGGCACGATTAGGGGCCACAACACACTGAGGGCAGGGGCCTTGTGCAGCAGAACAGGCAGGGTTAGGGGCCACACCGTGGTGGATGAGCACCGGGAACCCATGTCACCTGCTTCTCCCAACTGGCACATTCTTCCACAGGTCACGGCATGTCACTGGTGCTGAGGGGACAACCTCAGCCACCTGCCTACACCATGACCTATCCTGGTAATCACAGCCAGCCCAGCATAGCTGGGGATGGCCCTTGGTGGTATGAGGCCCCGAACAGCTCCTAGATGGCTGTCCTGAGTGTTTCTTTACACTTGTGCTTACCTGGCATGGGTACCTTGCCCCAGCTGGCTGACTGGATGGGAGCAAGACCTAGATTCTGAGAGGAGAAGCATCTGTTCACTCCTTGGGACTTAACTGTTTTCTTCTGAACATAAACGATACTACCCAAGGCAAACGACATGCCCTTCATTTTGGTAAAATACTAAACGGTGTGCTATGAACATCATATGTGCCCCTCAAGAGTGTCAGATTCAGGATACTCTAACATTCCCCTGGACGTGGTGATTTTCTCTGTAAGCACACACAGTGGGACAAGGTAAAGCTGCTGGAAAACTCAAACCTCTGGTGGCATCAGTCAAGTAGTGGTGATGTTTAAAGAAAGAAGAACATTTAATATTTAAGTATAGCTGGTTGTAATGCAATGAGATATTAAATGTATTGCTTGATCCATGTCAAAATGACACTTTCATACCCAGAAGCAAAGACTACAATGTGGTAACCCAGATAGGATTTTGGGACAGGAAAATAGATGTTAGGTGACGTCTATGGAAAAACAGATTTTAGTGAAGAATAAGGTATCCATATGGGCACATAGACAAATGCACTGTACTAATGTAAGGATTCACACTAGGGAAACAGTGTGCAGTATACGTGGCTCTCCTTCTATCTTCACAACTTTTCTATATACGTAAAAGTATTCTAAAGTAAAATGTACTGAAAAACATTACACATCCCATCACACTGTCCACACTCATCAAGGCTCCTAGGGCTTACCTATGGCAAACACCCTACATTCTTCATCACTGGGCAGAGCCCCACAGCCAGACATGAATGCTAACCACATTAACAGATCTGACAGAGTCACTGGACTTATTGTAGATTACTCAAAGATTCAACAGCATGCCAGGGAATACACAGAAGTTAAGTCCCTTAGGAGGATGTTGGTATTGAGCTCAACTCCTAACTGTCAGGCATAGTGATAGGAGTCCTTAACAGGAATGCAGCGTGTGTTCTTGTTAGCTCTTATCAACATTCTACACATTCAGGGCTGAACATCTGGTGTCTGCAGAATGACCAGATGAAGAGGTCCCTTGCCAATCTGAGGATGCTTGGTAAGTACTCAGAGGTGCGCTCAGGGCCTCCAATAGCTGGAGGTGCACAAGCTGAGCAATCACAAACACCCGCCAGCCAAAGAGCATCCTCAGATGTCTCCACGTGGGGCTAGAATGTGACATCTTG